GGGGACGTACTGTATTGCATTGCATAAGCGAGATTTTTGCAACGCTATTTCCCGTCCCACAACCTGCACAACGCTGCATTATACATGTTCCCATATAAAAGTTGGAGAACTGATTTCTAGTGTTCTACTGTGATTATGCTGTGTTGATAATTTAACAAAGTTCACTCAATTAAAATCAACGGAACGAAAGAAGTTACTTTTCTTAATTAACAAGCACGATACTACGGGGACAGTGCTAAATGAACGATTTACTAACAAAAAAAGATTACCGCTTCTACCTTAGGAAAGTAGTTACGGTAGTCCTATGTTTGTGTCCTTATCCGGGGAAATTCGTAATTAACGTTACGTTACCCATCCTCTTACTATTAATTGATTTTTGTAATAAAATCAAGCAAAATAGTTTGAGATTTTAAAGAAAAAGTAACTGTAGAGGTACAACAATAGGTGTTGTCATTATTGTTGTTGTTTTTGTTGTTTACGCGAATAATTATCAAAAGTAAACGAATTTAAAGAAAGAGATGTTTACTTTGCTTGCCTCCTGACGACATTCTCTCAGCTATTAGTATAAATATACTAGTGTTCTATCACGAATGCCGTTCTCTGATTGGCTACGCGACTCACTATCTACTCTGTGTTAGATAATGAGTAGCGTAGCAGTGCACCCTTGTTAACAAAATGTCGGCCGCTTCTCGGCGTTTTCGAAGTGTCTGTGAGGAGGATTTAAATTAAGTTTTGAACGACTAGTAGATTTATACTAAAACAATAAGATTATTCGCTCTCGATTTCTATCGCTCGATACTTGACTCGGGCTGCGCCCTCGTCAACTATCACGCGATAGAAATCTCGAGCTCATAATCTAATTGTTTATTAAATAAACCTTTACACTGTTGAAAGAGATGTCGAAAGAGTCCCAAATTTGTTTGTTAATTTCGGATTGGGTTGTTAAATAAAACTGGTCTCGATTTTGTATATTATTATACGTTGTAGTCACCATCTTTCTTCTCATTGGCTAAAAGCCTACAGTTAATTCTGGGAAACAGCGCAATCTACAGATTATTCACTAATCTGCTAGCAGATTAGTGAATAATCTGTAGGTTGCGCGCGCAATGCATGATTTCCAAGAGTAATTTCAAGTTAACGGACAGCGAAGTAAGAAAATGGCTTGTCGAAAATAAACTGTGTTCGGTGCGATAATGCGTTTGTCGTTATTTTCTTTAAAACAATGTATAATAAAACAATTGTTAGATTCGGTTTTTGTGATATCCGAAACAGTCAAGGTCTCAGTTAGTGTTACCAACCTCAGCCTTCGGCTTCGGCTAATAACACTTACCTCGACCTTGATTATTCCGGATATCACAAAAACCTCATCCAATGATTGTTTATAATTTTCATAGCTAGCTCATAGCTGATTGCAAATACTTGCTATGGTCCAGAAAAAAAACTGTAAAATGGTTTTGCTATGACGTCTTCAGTTCATATACTCTAACTATTTTATCGCTCATTTGCTAAACAGACACTCAGAACTAATTCTGTATTTCAACTTACAGATAAAATCAGCATCCGTGGCGATAACGAGGACACGTGTAACGATACTGCGTCCCCCCTCAGCGGATGAAAATAGTCTACGAGCTTCACTGAAGGCAGTGTCCATATCTGAGCCACCTCCAGGATGAGATAAACTCCGTATAGCCTTGTGAATAGATATGATGTCTTGTTTGTTCTTGAAATAATAATGATCATTGACAGAATCCGCAAACGTCATCAACGCCACGTGTGTTCCTAGAAAGAGGAGAAACAAGCAATGACTCCGTTTTGTGTAGAAACTAAAATAATAAACATTTGTCAATTAAACCAAGTAAAAGCTGTAACTCCTAAATAATATTTTCACTTTCATTAAACGTTTACATTCCAGCCAAGACTGACCTGGTTAGTTCTTATTCTAAATCATCATGACATGACATGACATTGCATTGCATTGCATTGCATTGCATTGCATTGCATTGCATTGACATGGCAGGGTGGGTGGGCATTCAGAATCTGTACTGTCAAATTCACGATTAAAAGAAGACATTTTACACATATCGGTAACGTAGTCAGGATGGCCGAGCGGTATAAGGCGCTGCGTTCAGGTCGCAGTCTACTCTTGTAGGCGTGGGTTCGAATTCCACTCCTGACACGAACATATTTTACTATGTCAGAAATCATACGAGAAAATGTTATACAAGAGACTATATATTACCAGTAGAAGAGATTACGAATTGTGAGGTAACTCTTTGGATCATGTTCTTCAAAGCGCCAAAGTCATTCGTGTGAATGCTTCCTGATGCATCAAACATAAAGGCAATATCCATGACAGCGGGGCATTCTGGGAAAGAAAAAACACTTATACTTGACTCAGACAAATGCTTTACTTGGAAACTTTATTTCGTCTTATACCATATGGGTGAAGAATTGCGCGATAATCAGTTTTAAGAACAATTTCGTCGAGATCTCATATTCGCATGGAGAAACAAATAAGATTTCCGTCCTTGCCTGTCCTCGCTACGTTTTGCAAAACCATTAAGAAAAGTATACATGAACGTTGTTGATCGAGTCAGCTGCGCGCAGAGTAATAACTCGGCGGTGAAGTCAATGAGAAGAACAAACCCTGACTCCACTCACCTTGAATATGTGAAGATGCGACGATGAATATTTGCTGTAAAACAGAAAAAGCACACCTCATATGTGTTAGAGTAATGGAAACTATAGGATTATCTTTTGTCTTGTCATTGTTTGATGTAAAAAGATAGATATCTGGATTTCAAACATTTTTAAGAATAGGTTTAATTAAAACTGAGTAAATTTATTTTTAGTGAATTTTGCAAAGCATGGAAAATAAACTTATTTTCGACGTCATTTACATTTTCTCTGCATATTGTTTATTGTTAATTTTCTTGTTTTGAGAGGAAAAAAGGCAACTCTTGATACGCTTTGTTAGTGAGGCAAAAGCAACAAGAATACATTACACTAGACCTTAAGTGTCGTTTTGCATAGATGACTAAAAACTGAAAAGAGTGGCAAGATGCAGCATCGCAGGGTTTCGGTTTACATTATGCAAATGAAAAATCAGACAGTCCTCAGTGTCTTTCCTGAGTCTTCTCGAGCTTGCGCATGCCGGTTTATTTTGTAGTCATTCAACTACGAAGCTGGTTATTCGCAAATTTCATACTAGTAAATCAGCATTCAATGCAACAGTTATACTGAGAAGAACACTATTCCTAGAGATCGGCACCAATAAGACAAATTTGGTGCTACTGTAGGTACTGACTATTATGAAATTATTAATTAGGCCAGCGTCCACACTACACCGGAGAAATTTGAAAACGCAAGTTTATCTCTAGGTTAGGCCTACCGTTCACACTACACGAAAACGGAGCTTTTCGAAAACGATGTAGTCGTTATAACCATGTGATTTTCCTCGCCGAGTTTTCCTTAAACACAAATCCAAAATGACCGGTGAATGTTGCGTTTTTAAACTCGGCGCAGTGTGAAGCAAGGGAAATCAGCCACATTTTGCAGATCTGTCATAGCAAAGGCGAAAGTAAGTAAATAAAGTATAACAGCACTAATACTGTAACATGCTTTATGTACGAAAAAATGTTACTCGTCGGCGGAAAATCGGTCTGACGTGGAGAGACCGAGACTCGAGTCCTGGCTAGCAAATCTTGCTGTTACATTTTATCTGTAAGGCACATGCATGCATGTGAATTAATAGATCAGTACACGCTGGTATCGAGGCCAAGCTTATCCCGGTTTCGGAAGCTATAATCTGACTAAGATCATTGCTGCTCCTCATAAGGAAGCTTGTTCATCAAAGGTACATTGATCGGCATTCAAGCAATTGTTCGCTTACCAAAAGTAACAAAAGCGAGATCCGTAATATCATTACCAGTCGTTTCAACGCTGTTTCTGACTGTAGATACATGAGTGATACTTCATACTGTTCGATAAAAAGAGCGCTCCTTTCAGGAAATTTTACGAATTTATTTAGCTGTCTACAAAAGTACGGAATGTCAGGGAATAATAAACACAAATCTCACTCAGCTTTTCATCGACAAACAAGACAAGCAGATGCTCAAGGATTAAATTGTGTGTTAAATTGTGTGTTTTTATGATGCAAATGAGTCACTGGCAGGCCATTTTCTCTGCTTGGAGGAAATACACCGAGAAGAGAGTTGAAAATACAACGCGCAGCGGAGTATTTTTGACGAAATTCGAGGTGTTGGGAAAGCCGATGAAACACTGTCTCGAGTGTTTGAAATATCTTCTCAATCGAAACAAAACCTAAAGAGTAAACGGAGAAGTAAAATCGTCAAAATATATATCCAAACCTCTTTCACGGTTGTGATTTTCTTTGTTTTAAATCAGTTTGTTATGAAGATTTTTACTTTTCAGTTTACGAGCCTCTGAATATTCCGCTCATTTTCGATCGATTTTGGCCGATTTGGGGCATCGAAAGGATAAAATTGCGTAGATTCGATTTTTCGCTATTTCCAAGTCTAGTTGATATTTGGGCGAAGCTGCTCTTAAGTCCTATTTAATTGATTTAAAATAAAAAATTAGTCGATATTCCTTAATGTGACTGTGCGATACAGTTAGTGAGTTCTGCTGCGCCAAATCATCATTTGGCTGTGTGACCGCGCGATGCGGTTCCAGTCAAAGACCCACATTTAACCCTTGCTCACCATAGAGTCTCTAGTAGCTCAGTGGTTAGAGCATCCGACTAGATCACGGAAGGTCATGGGCTCAAATCCCATCTGGAATTCATTCACATTTAATATTTCTTATAATACTAATTGAACTCTGTCCAGCAATATTTGACTTCCTTGGAGTAAGTGAAGTAAATTATCGTCAGTAAGATGGTATTGCGTGGTAATCGCTTCTTTATCAGCTTATTTCATGATAAACCAGTTGCAGTACCATGAAACATGTTCTGTATAATTGGGCCAACGTCTCGCCAGGATATTGTTAATTGGTACAATGAAGCAGGACTGTAGGGCCTCTCAGTATCAATTTGTTGTTCCTTCAAAGTTCTTTCCTTTTTTCTAACCCCTCTACAGAAAGAGACCGTCACTTTTAAAATTTTTATCAAAAAAAGTCTAATGTGTTGAATTATATTGCTGTTGCTTCTACTGTGCAGGTTTAACAAGCGAGTTGTTTTCAAATAGCAATTGCGCAGTTTCCGGCTTAAAAATGCGCATTTTCAAATGGCGAAACGTGTGATTTCTTGCCTAAAAGTGCACGATTGTTCCAATTTCCTGGTTGATAGTACCATATCAGTTACTATAAAAGTTACGTAACTTCCAGCTCTAAGTATAGGTAATCAAATGATTATGAGTGCAATTTGGAATAAACTAGCACAAGTAAATTTTTCAAAGACTAAAAACAAAATTGCGCGAGCCTGTAGGGCGAGTACAAAGGATACGCAATTTTTTGCTGAGAGGTGCGCAATTTGTTACTCAGAGGTATGCAGCATATCGCTAAAAGATGGACAATTTATTTATTTATGTTTATATTTTCTTTTTTTTAGGATATCATCATCTTGAAAGTCGGAGAAGACGACGACAGGAAGAGTCATCTGCATTGATGCTGTTAAACTTCGGCATAAGATTTGTTTATAGATTTGTAATTTATATAAGGAAAGCTGCCACCTCGAGGTAAAGTCTGCGTCAGGCTAAGCGGCCGATACAGCCGGACTTTATGACAGATTCTGTAGTACTAAGCGACTAGGAGTATTTCTACTCCCCCCTGGATGGCATGCTAGTCCATAACTACAGCAAAGCATAGGACAGTAGCGATGTGACTTTTACGTTAGAAAAGTGCACGATGCTGGCAGTGAACGTCTTAGGAAAAATGTTACTTCTATATGGCAAACAATCAGCCATTTGTTTCAGTCTATAGTTCCCAAACTATTCCCTTAATCAGTTTTGTTTTCGTTAAACATTTAAGAATAGAAGTAAGCGAAATCGAGGAACGCTTTGATATCTTCTCGATATTATTTTCAAGTGAAGAAATAAAAAAAATATTACTTTAATATATACCGAAAAAAGTGTCCATTTATTTCATATGAATAAATAAACAGTGACAATATGTCAAATAGTTGCATACGTATAAATAAACAAACAGTAATAAAGTTAATTACAGATGTTAAGTTCAAACAAGACTTGAGCGCAAATAGAGTCTGGTGTTTACGTTCGGTTTGAGTTCGCTGATGAACAACAATTCCAAGACCAGACACTCCAACTTTTCCTGTTCCCTGACACAGCTGTCGGCGGAATATAAGAACCAGGCTTTATATGAGCTATATTAGGTACATGGTGCCCCGGAGGGTATGGTCATGGTTTTTCACCCGTTTTGGTCATAAATAGAGTAAGGGTTTTAGGGAGCAGGCCGCACAACCTCACTCAATTATTATGGAAACAATCCCTCCTCTCCCCCTCCCCTCCGCCTAAACACCCACACTCGGGCAAAATATGGATTACGCGCGAAGTATGTCACGACACCCACTCGAGCGGTTAACGCGCGAGATGGGTGAACGTTCCCAGCATTCTTTGCAACAGCGGTTCGTCCATTTTGTTGAACCGCGAAAGTTAAACGAGGCTGAAAAAAAGTAGACTAAAAGGTTAATTTGTTCTTATTCACTGTGTATTTAGTACCTTTCCTTGTAGTGCTTTCATGCTTTGTTCGTATGGAGGACTTTCTCCTTATCAGTGTATCTGTTGTAACTTATTCAGGGAAGAACTTCGCTTGGAGCTGGAGAACTTTGTTGTCGGGCGATTGAACTCGGTTTGCCGGTAAGCTTTTTAGACAGACAAAATATATTTGATTTATTTACATTGTTAACTGTAGTAGTATGTATTTCTTCCCTTTTTGATCGGGTTCCAGCTTGCTTCTAAGTTAGCTTCGTTNCCCCCCCCCCGCGGCCGCTATTTAACAAATTGATGTCAGTTTTTCATGCGTCTGTCCTGTTATTGATAATGAATTTCGTCATAACATTATCAAAGTAGCTGTGGATCCGCAGACTACTTTGACAACGTTATGACGAAGTTCATTGTCAATAACAGGACAGATGCATTAAAAACTGACATCAATTTGTGTTTTTGCAATAACAAATTGTCAAATTGTCCACTCTCACTCGTTGATGCATCACATAAATTATATATTCATGTGTCTGTCCGCTTATTGACAATAAAAATTAGCCAATGAGTGCGGGAGAATTGCTACAGTTATCGTAAAAATGTGTATTTTCGTGAGTGTTGCCCCCCCCCCCCCCCCCCNNACCCGCGATATCTTCTGTATTATCGCGAGTGTTGCCCCCCCACCACACACACACACACAGCAGACAAGATCAGATAAATAGAATGGCTTTTATCTGCCTTAGAAGGTGAATACTTGTATCTCAGATGAATTATTTGTCTTTGTTTAATCATAACAAGATTTTTTAGTCAGAGTAATTTATCTGGAATGAGACAGCACATGGCAATTAAGCTTATGTGTAAACTGCTATATGTTTTGGAAATCAATTTGTTTGAAATGCTTATACTTGTACATATTTGTATCAGTCAATTTGAAACCACCACATCCCGTCCCTATGCCCACAGGGAAGGGAGTACTCCCAAAAAAATTGGGTGGGGGCACTTCCCAAAACTCTACCCTATTTAAGAGCAAAATCAATATTTTTAGCTACGATTTTTCCAACCCTATTAATGCCCTGACCAAAAATTTAATACCCCGTTTAAGTACTGACTCTAAAAATCAATACCCTAGCTGTTTCAGACCTGGCAACATTTAAGAGTGTTTTGTACACACAACATAAAGCTTGCAAGCGTTGTTACCATTTCAGCCGATTTTTTATTTAGTTAAATTAAATTAATTTAAATGAAATTTAGTTAAATTAAAGTAAAAAATTTCACCAACTACTGAATATATTCTACTAGTGTTCTCTAAGATTTTTCTTGATGCTGATTTATTATCTGATATTTTGTTGTGTGCATTGTCTGTAGTCGCCAACTGCCAAATGTATGATTTCTCATCCAAAATTAACACCTGCTTAAAATGCTCGTTTGCAACCAGATGTGTATTTTCAATTACAGTAACTGATCTTAGAGATTTAAAGATAAAGACAATTTTACTGGAAATTAGACCTACTGGCAAACATTTCTGGATCAATGTTGGAGATAATGATCACGGTGTGAAAGGTCAAAATGTCAGGCACTTAGCTTAATTAAGTCTTCAAGATGCTCTCAAGTTTTGTGTTTTATAATTTCATTTTTCATTTTGCCCAAGCTAGATTTGTAATTAAAACTTAGATTAAGGGATGCTTTAAACCAGGAAAATTGCTTTGATAGGTACATGTAAACCATGTACCACGAAATTGGTCAACGAGATTGAACTAAAGTTTGACATGACGCAACATTGTCAAAGCATATAATTTTGAAAATTTGACAAAAATTCAGGTTTAAATTACATATAAATCTGACAGTGTTGACTAACTACTAAAAGATAATGTTTTCTAAAGTACTATGGGTTAGCTTTTCCAGCCACACTTATATTTTGGCTTGCTAGCATTTGTAAAAAGTGTAATTTTAGGGTTGCATTTTGCTTTTTGTAGGGCAAAATATGTACATGTAAGGCTGTCTCAACAAGAAAATAATATTCAGTACAAACAACCTTGAAGTTACAGTTTTGAATCAAGTTACTGAAAACCTTCTTCCTGACAAAGTTTGAGAAATTCGATTTTTTTCTATCCTGCATAGGTATTGGTGATTGTTACAGCAAGCTGCTCTTAATATCTGGTCGCAAGCACTCAATTTTGGATCTCATTGGTGACCAGAGAATCGCTATTTTGAGCCCTGAAATCATTGCAATAAGCAAATATTTAGGAATGAGTACATTAAAATAATGACACATGTAAATTAAAATCACAACAAGCCAAAACTACAGTATTTGACTTTTTTCTAAGTAAATCCCTCCTCTTTGAACAATGTTAAAGGATATGTAGATTTGAAAGATTTCCATGAAACTTAAGGGGACAGTGTAATGAATTGTGCAAGTGGTAAGTTTGGTTTACAACTTGAAAAGTTTAGGCTGAATATTTCAAGTTTGTTTGACAAATTCAAAATGGTGATGAGTAGTGGAACTAGTGGAAACTAGCTGTGATGTGTGAACAAGAGGCAACTGCAATCAGGAAAATGTGTTTGATGAATATGTGATAGAAGAGTAAGCCTTCTAAGCCTTGTGTCAGGCTGTCAGTCTTGAAAGCATTGTGAGTGAAAACTTGGATCAGTCTGTCACTGCCAATATGTAACCCCTGTCAGAATTGGTAAATAAGTCTCTTCACCTTTTATTTTGCTCCTCACTTGTTTCTGAAGGGTACTTTTTTTTATCAGGAGGACTTTTTAGTGCAGAGTGCACTATTGGGATGGTTATGGGAGCTGCCTGCTGCTAAGGCACTATGGCGCTATTCGCTATGGCGCTAAGGTGTAAACTTTAATGTTTGTGGCTTCTATATTAGGTGGAGGATACATTGCATACGGAATCACACACAAATGTTGAATGGTTTTCCTTATGGTAGTACTCAACATGTAAGACGCATGCGTTCTAGCATTGTTAGTGTTATACACTATCTTTCCACGCAGTATTTTATATGTCATGTTATGTGACCAAGGACAGTAGTTATTTTTCAGGTAGCGCCAATTGTCCCTTTTTAATGCAAAACTGAAATGTAACTTTGGCTGTGTAGCTTTTAGAATTACACGCAGGTCGGTTCAACAAATATCATCTGCTGTTTTCAATCTACAATAGTGTGCTTGTCAGGGTTCAAATGTATTAATTCTCCTTAGTGGCTTGTTTATTTCTTGCCTTAATTGTGTCTGTAAGAGAGACCAAAAAGTTCCCAAGTTAGTGGCTTTAATACTCCACAAATTGTAAANATGGTTTTCCTTATGGTAGTACTCAACATGTAAGACGCATGCGTTCTAGCATTGTTAGTGTTATACACTATCTTTCCACGCAGTATTTTATATGTCATGTTATGTGACCAAGGACAGTAGTTATTTTTCAGGTAGCGCCAATTGTCCCTTTTTAATGCAAAACTGAAATGTAACTTTGGCTGTGTAGCTTTTAGAATTACACGCAGGTCGGTTCAACAAATATCATCTGCTGTTTTCAATCTACAATAGTGTGCTTGTCAGGGTTCAAATGTATTAATTCTCCTTAGTGGCTTGTTTATTTCTTGCCTTAATTGTGTCTGTAAGAGAGACCAAAAAGTTCCCAAGTTAGTGGCTTTAATACTCCACAAATTGTAAATTTGTAACAAAAGAAACCAGGAAAGTTCTCAAATATTGCTGCAGACTCCATGGCACCTAATGAAAGCGCAAATTAATTAATATAATCAGTCTTTGAGGAGACTCATTCGTATCAGCCAAGTAACGCTGTTTATCTTCAATACTTTTCGTTGAAACACTTCTCAGCCATCAGTATTGTTGTGGGTTAATTTTGAATTGTTTTATTGTTAACAACAAAGGTGGCAATAGAAAAAGAAAGTGGTATTTTGCGACTATCTGATAATTAAATTAGTTCTTGTTCATTGGTAAAAATTTGCATTTTTCGTAAAACAACATCGTTTCTGTTCTGTTTCTTCATCACTACATCAGATATTTAACTTTCTTTCATTTATCTCCAAAAAACAAGCACATCTTCTGCGTGTTTTGGGGAAAACAAGGGTTTCATTTTACATGCCTTCGCAAGGAAAACAAAAGTATCAAGTTACAAAGTTGGCATTAAGAGCTAAATTGTCACGTTTGCTGCTTCAACGTATTATTGAATTTAAAATGAACGAAAATCAATGTAAAACACCAGTAGTAATCAATTTGTACATAATTTTTGGACCTTGAATGAAAATACAACCTTGAAACATACACACTGCAAAGGGGAAAAGCCCTAGCAGACTACCAAGGTAGACACAAACCGGAAGTGAACCAAGTAGGGGTGAGTACTTATGGGACTACCATGCCGGAGCTATCAATTGCGCTCTGCACTATCTGAGATTGTGTCACTAGTTTAAAAGAAGAGTAGAGCCATTGGACTGTTAGAGGTCAGAGCTCTGCATGGTTTCAGCTGTTATCTATCGCTTTTTAGTATAAATCTATTAGCATTCTATTACGAATGGCGTTCTCTGGCTGGCTATGCTACTCACTATCTATTCTGAGACAGATGGTGGGTAGCATAGCAGTGTGCCCTTGTTAACAAAATGACGGCCACTTCTTGGGGTTTTCAAGGTGTCCGTGAAGAGGATTTAGATAAAGTTTTGAACAACTAGTAGATTTATACTAAAACAATCAGATTATTTACTCTCAATTTCTATGCATGATAGTTGACTCGGGCTGTGCCCTCGTCAACTATCAACTACGTTGTATCTACGTTGTATCTCTCTTTTTATTATTCACTCTGGAGGGAGAAGTCGGTGATCGTGTTGATTACTTGCATTCTATATTATGTTGCCGGGCTTGGTTGTTAAATTAAAACTGTGTTAAGTTATGTGGCTTATTATCACGGATCATATTTACCTTTGTCTGGCATTGGCAGAGACTGCTGTCAGTAGTGTTACTTCAAGAATCTTAGAGTTATCCATTCTGAGTTGTCGGAGTTATGTTTCTTGCATCCTGAATCTGTTTGAGCTTTTCTTCTCCTGAACTTGATGTTTAGGTTTGTACCTCCTTTGTTCGTTCTGGCACCACATGATGTAAATTTAGCTAAATCCAGATGTTCACGTCTGTTGACTGTTTTGCGTCATGTATACATTTGTAAATTGGCTACTTGGGACATTTTTTGCGCCAATAAATTCTCATTCTTTCATACCAATCATTTCAAGGGGGCGGTAGAGCATAAACAATGGTGTGACTACAGGCAGATTTTTATCATCTTGCGCTTTGCGCTCATGGTCACGCTCCACGCCAGTGTATTGCATTTTGCTCTCTGCCCTGCTAATCTACCTGTTCTGCAGGCTACGGGTCATGCAGCTAAGTTTCAGGTTAGAGAAGGAGAGAGAGAGAGAATCAAAGGATGAATTTGGGTATAATATTTAGGTGTCTGGAAGTTGGAGAGGGCCTTTCAATTCAGTTGTAAAGAAAAAGTAAACATTTTTGAAGGGGAGGGGGCAGTTGAATGATTACTGAATTCCTAAGCATTGTGGAATTTCCAAAGCCAAGAAGGGGGTTTAGATGAAGATGGAAGGGCATGGATATTTTCTGGAATCTGCACCCATTGCATGTATCTTCATTATCCTAACAATCTGCATTCATTGAGCCTTCAAATGGTGTATTGAACACAGAATTCGGCAACAATATTCAAGATTTCACACATGCATGGACTATGACACTCCCTTTATAATAAATCAGGGGTTTCATTAGGTGCCAGGCAGCAGGCAAATTGACTGGCTGTGAGGATGATTTTACCAGCCTGGTTTGACCATCTGCAGAAAAGGTTTTCTTCTGAAGAAGTTCAGTTGAAAGAATTTTGCCTGCCTGTTAAAACCAGTTGCCCTCCTGCTGTAAATGTTAATGTAACCCCTGATAACAACAAAATACAGTCATTCATTTGGTAATTTTTTTATTAACACTTAAAAATTTTCATTTGTGGTAGCGTAAATTGCAACACATTTGACAAATCAGTTGATGCCAGAACTTGATAGAGAAATAAATGTAACCAAAGAGATTTATTTATTAATTGTCACTGTATGTTTGTTTTCCATCAGTGATCACATGTGATACATGTAGCTGACTACAGTACATGGCCCAACTGTGAAAACTTGCATCAACTTGCATGCAAATTTGATCTTGACCAAAGTGAGTGTAAGTCATCGCAGGTCAATGCAAGTGCACCCAATGCCTGGCCAAATGAAGTTGCAAGTAGTCCCAAGTTTTCAGCTTGCCTCTACTTGTGGGTTCGTTTGGCCAGGGCTTTACTTTTGGAATGTCTCTATTTTCAGCATTTTGTTAACAGCCATGAAATTTAATTGCTTCTTTCATAGGGGAATCATTACCTTAATTTAATTATTTTGTATAGGTCATAGTGACTACATGTATAATGTACATGTTTAATAAATCTCGAACGTAACTCAAATTATTCTTAATCCCGTGGTTATCACCATTCAGTCAAGTTGGTCTAGTACATTTACAGTGGAACCCCACCCTACTGTCACCTTGTTATTATGCCACATACTTGTGTACAGGTGAAACGCCCATACATTTCTCTCATAGAAAAACCCTGTAAATGCGGCCAGCCCTTTAATACAGCTTACTGCCACATTTTGAAATCCCAACCTGTATAATCATTTACAATCTTACCCTGTTTAAATGGCCACTCGGCCAGTTATGTAGTAAATGGTTTAAACCTGTGAGTATCAGTAGTTTGTATGTGATTGTCTGAGTGAGGGTTATGTTCATCTTTCCGATCTAAATATTGTATGAAGTGATTGAAGTTTCAATGTTTTTAAATTCTATCTACATTCCGTATTTTTATTAAAGAACAGTGGTTCAGAAGTGCAATTGTGATATTAATATCTGTTACTTCTGTTAAGACGCCACTCAATTTAGACCAGTCATGAAATTTGACCCTACCCCATTAATATGGTCAACTTGTTAACACCGCTAAATTTTCATGGCCCGTTGGTGACCGTATTAACGGGGTTCCACTGTAGGTTGCTGGTATCCATTTATAATCCTTAGTGAAGTAAGTTACTGTTTGAGTAAAGTGCTGTGTTCAAGATCATAACTCAAGGACTTTGGGGAGGCTTCTTAATCTGGGGACCATTTCACCTGGTGTTATGCCACTACACCATAAACATTTATACAGTATCTAAATTTTTCTATTTCTTCTTTTGAACAGCTGAAGACAAAATACCTGAGGACAAGACAGGAGGAGGATATTATCCACAAGCTTATTCTAGAATAATGATTTTTTTTTTTTTTTTTTGCAATCCAGGACCAGGTAAACACTTGTGTTCTTATGCAATGATCAAATCAAAACTTAACCTGGTTCCTTAAGGAGAATCGCCGAAGGGCATCCATACAGGGTACCCAAGTCATTGAATTCTACAGCAGAAACATAATTAAAATGCACCCCCTTTTTTTCCTTTTTAATTAATGCACTATTATTATAAGATCCAAACTAGTCAGGGAAGTTTTTGTTTTTCCAAATCAGGGAAAGTTCACCTGGAGAATAAGTAGAGAAAATGGAAAGGTTCCCTTTTGTACTGTACCTTTGGCATATAAAATAACTAGAATAAACTACTGAACTAACTCCATTCGAATTAAACCTATAGTACGACACACTTTCAGTAAGTGACCACCAAACTAACTACATGTAAGAACAGACACTACTCAACTTATACCAACAACTACTTGCCCCTACAGTAGTCACTATGGTATTTCTTGACCTCAGCAGGACTCATATGATGTTCTTCAACCAGCCTCAACACAAACTTCACCACTGATTACTACCTATTACCCTGACAGGTTCTCAAAGCATCAGTGCTTTCACACTAGACAAACTACTCAGTGATACTTGTACACTTTTTTTCTTTGTGGTTGGCAACTTGACAGTTGTTCCTTTGGGCACCTCAGAATGGGACATACTGTA